CCATAAGGTCAAAGAGAGACTGGACATCTGCTTCATCTCTCTTGACCCCTGGACCCTGTAGATCTGGATTGGACAGTTTGGACCTGCCGTGACCTATCAGGTCTCTCAACTGTCTCAGGTACATGCTTCTGTACTCAGCTGTTAGGTAATATTTGGTCACGGCTCCTGGCTTCAAGCTGAATCCCTTTGTCCCTCCAGCTGTCTGGGTGTCTTTGTTCACCGTTTTTTCTATAGCTTGGTCAACAGGGATTCGGCCAAATGGATTGGCGGAGCTCAGTTGAACCGAAAAGCCTCCTTCCATGAATTCCGTGTACACATCTGGGTGTGTGATGGGCAGCTGAGACACCTGGGCGTAGTAGTAGGGGAGGTAGCGTGCATAATTCATCCTATCATAAGCGAAGCACCACGGGATCATTGCTCGAATGCTTGCCAAGTGTAGCATCCAGTCTCCCTCTCTGGATGCTCGGATGTGCCCCGACAATATTTCAACCGTGTCCAAATAGGGCGTCCAGAAGGTCGAGAGGCTGCCGTTTCCAACCTCTGAGGAACTCGCGGTAGACTTCAAACAATTCCACGACACGTGTACACGAGCTGTTCTCGAGGACCTCCTTCAAAGCGGCTTGCGAGACTTCTTTCCCAAGGTTGTCAACGGTCCTCAGCGTCTCATCCAGGTGAACCATGCGGTTCATGTGAGTTGCTTCCAACCAGGACAGGAAACCATTCCATGTCAGTCGCACGAGAGCCTCACACAGGAGCTTGTGTAGTCGCACTGCCCTGTTGTGCTTGCGGCCATCCATAACACCAGAAACAATGGAGCCTTCTGCGATCATGCCAGACTCAATGCAGAGATCTCGGAGTCCAGCATTTTGGAAACGCTTTCCTAATTATTGCCAGCAGTGTGCAGATGGTGTGGAATACCCCAAGCCTGGCGACGATATCATGGAGCCTGTCACGGTGTTTCCATGTGATCTCGACGGCCGTCGCATGCACGGCTTGGTTCAAAGAGGCGGACAATCTTTGTCAGGCTTAAGTACCACACGACGCTCGGTGACCGGTTAAGCACCTCGTTGACGGTAGACACTTGTGTCGCTGGAGCACTGATGGCGGGCAGAGAGCCTGCATTGTCGGGGATGACCGTCGTCTCACCTCGAGTCAGGATGTAGAAGCCTGTCCAGCTGCTGATTGGCTGGTCTTCCTGTTGTGACGTGCGTGTTAGGACCCGAACAAGGTTCTTCTCCCTGGCAAGCTGAGTATTGGCTGCGGTATCGCCATCTGCACTGTTGCTTTGTGGTGGCCTCCACCCGTTGTCCAGCGTTGTAAGTTGGTACCATTGGCGGGGGTGCATTAATGCTTCTCTGCTTTGTTTTGGCAACAGTGGGCAATGGGTTGGACAGGACCTGGGCTGGCTCGCTTTGCTTGCACAGCAATCCCTCACCGCTGACAGTGACGGTTTCTTCAAGACGATCGATATTGTCCCAGGCTAAAGTTGTGAATATACCAGGATGGATGTTAGCTGGTAGGGCAATGTCACTCCCTGATGATGAGAGTTTCTGAAGACGCAGGGCAGTGCCGATCTCTTCCATCCGTGGATAGGACACACTGTGACCAAGTCGGTTGAGGATGTTTATCAGCTCTACATTCCCTGACAATGACTTGACATTGAATGGCAGAACAATGTGTTTGGAAGGCTTGGTCGTTGCACATGTCACTGCATAAACTATGTCATGGACAAATGATTGCAGAAGCCGCTGAACTCTATGGGATGCATGATCAGGATCATGAGCGCCTGTGAGTAGATAGTTCAGGAAGACAATGAGCGACTCTGGAATGGTAGGACATTCTGCTTCTGGTTTGACTTCAGGTGGCCAGGCTTGAGGAACATCTTGACTCCTGATGTCCTCTTTCAATTTGACGGCTGCTTTGGCTATAACATCTTCATCACCGACACTTTTCAGGGTCTGCAGCTCCATTTTTAGAGACTGATTTTCTTTGGTAAGTTCCCTCATGGACAGGTTAGCTGGATAGAGGAGGAGTTTTCCTTTCCCATCAGGGAAGACGCCCAAGGCTCCAGCAAACGCCCTCTCCAGCTTTCGCCTTGTGTGCTTCTTGGTTGATTCCTTGACTTGGACAATGCCTAGAGAGTTTCATTGAAGCAACCAGGCTAGAAGTCAGATCAGTCTAGAACCAGTCAAGGAGTGCCAATGATTACCACTAACAAAGTTATTGGTAATAATTGTGTGCATGTTATGAAAGTTTACAATTTATGGAAGCAAAATATCAAAAAGATCAACATTGACAAACTGAACAAAAATAATTACTTTTGCCTGTAGTACCTGGCCTTAACTAATAATCTTAACAGGTACATTAACTTTTCGATTTAAAGCTTTCATGACTGCAAGGATTCATCTTCTTTGGTTCTTTCGGTAAAGTCACGTAGAATGAGAATAAAATAATAAATGAATAAAATAAAATAACACAATAAAATTCTCACGACGTTTCGGCCACAACACAAGCGGCCTTCATCAGGTGAAGGGACGAGACTGTCTGGAGGACAGCGCTGGAGCGAAGAGAGCCAAGCTCAGACCGCGACCTTTAAGCTGTGTGAGAAGAAACAGAGCGCCTTGACAAATGAATTAGCATAAAAAATTAGCATTTAATTGGCGGACTTAGCATGCTGAAGGACGCTTGTGTTGTGGCCGAAACGTCGTGAGAATTTCATTGTGTTATTTTATTTTATCAATTTATTATTTTATTCTCATTCTACGTGACTTTACCGAAAGAACCAAAGAAGGTACATTAACAGTATATTGAGGGTAAAGTTGGCACTTTAGATATATTTTATGAACAGAAATAATACACAACCACTAGTACTTGCCTCACCTGCCAGTAAATGATCATGAGCAAACAAGCCGCTGGAAACAGAAGGAAAACAGATAGCGCCAATCTATTCCAGACTTAACTAAGTCACTGAAATTGAAGAACAAGCGTGAATAGATGCAAGAATGTGTATGAAATACATCCGTTGGGGGCAAACATCCATTTCGTAAGTTATTTCTTATCTTAATTAACAGCAGAGGTGTTGGAATGTTTTATTTGCAACGTTCGGGCAAATAGGCGTGAATGCGATAGGTGCGAAAGCAGTTTTCCTGGGAGAAAAATTAAACAGCTGCTCATTTGGAAAGGTTATCGTGTATTATTTTACTTCTGTTGGTGTAACAAATACAATGGCACCAATGAAGTTTGGCCAACTTGGGTGGTACCGATATCTGGTCTGGCCCAAGGGTCTCTAAAATGTGTCGACTACAAGCACCGTTAACGAAACGTCGTTCGTGGAACGAGGCTCGGTGGAAGGAATAGAAGTGAAGGGAATTTGTCACGTGACTGTATGACTACCAAGGGTCACACTGGACATCTGTGAAAAAAAGAGCTTTGTAGCTCATCGGATTCCTCCAGTATGAAGACAACTATTCTGAAAGCTAAAGAGGCAGTCTTAAAATCACTTACCTGGGCCACTGCTGGTGGAAAGGCCTCCACGAGAGGGGGCTCTAGAAAGCCTCTCCCCCCAGAGTATATGTTGCACTATTTCATCAGGTAAGGCCCCACTAAGCTACATAGCTCTTCTTTCGGAAGTGGAACCTGGCTATCATGAATGATCGCCCAACGAAGTGGCTGATATCATCAACGTCGTGTGGAAATTTAGAGCAGTAGCCAAAAAAAACTCGAAACGTGTGATGTTGATTCCTAAATGTGGAGGGTAAAACCCGGAGGACCCAGAGAAAAATCCACGCCACCACGGCGGAGGGAGATGCAAACTCCAAATATACAGGAGGCGTCAGGGTCAGGATCGAACCCACAACTTCCTGTATACCAGGCGATGTAGTCAACATCTCCTAGCCACCATGGAGCCCCAAAAAGAAAGCCCCTTCCCCCGTGAAAAAATATTTCGCCTTCTCTTCCATGCTGGTCGGATACCTTAAAAAAAAACACATCAGAGATAGCCACTGTTTGTCCCACCACGCGCAACCTCCTTTGACACTTCTGGGTGGATAAAGGCCAGAGAAGGGGTACGGGGGAGATGCAAAACAAAAGACTTGCACCGTAACCAGGCACGGTGGTGACTGAGAATATCAGCACGCCCTGCTACCCCCGACCCCTTTTGAAACGCAATAGCCAGGGAGAGCTTCCTTCCTCAGTACTGCTGCGATGTTTAGCTGGCGATTACAACAACAACAACCAGCAGCTTCATCAGAGGATTTGCCAGAATTGTGAAGAAGTCTTCCTGTTTCCGGTCTTAAATAGTGAAGGTAATTTCACCACTGTAGATGACGAATAGAGCAAGCTGATGACATCACTTATGATGATTAATAGAGCAAGGTGATGTCATCACTGATGATGACGAATAGAGCAAGGTGATGTTATCACTGATGATGAATACATAAGTTGATGTCATCACTGATGATGACGAATAGAGCAGGATGATGTCATGACCGATGATGAATACATAAGGTGATGTTATCACTGATGATGATTATGGTAAGGTGATATAATCACCGATGATGATGAATAGAGAGCAAGGAGATGACAATCGCTGATGATGATGATGATGATCATGAATCAAGTAATGCAACTAAGAATTGTAATACTCTTTGGTTCTATTGGGTAAAGTCACGTAGGTGAAAATAAAACAACAAAAAAATAACAATAATAAATGAATAAAATAAAATAACACAATAAAATTATCATGACGTTTCGGCCACAACACAAGCGGCCCTCATCAGGTGAAGGGACGAGACCGTCTGGAGGACAGCGCTGGAGCGAGAAAAGCCACGCCCAGATCACGACCCCCAAGCTAATCAATGAGTGAACGAAAGAGCTTCACAGCTCATCGGATTTCCTCACTCCAGACGGTCTCGTCCCTTCACCTGATGAGGGCCGCTTGTGTTGTGGCCGAAACGTCGTGATTTTTTGTTGTTTTATTTTCACCTACCTGACTTTACCCAATAGAACCAAAGAATATGGATCCTAGCAGTCACGAAAGCTTCAAATATAGAATTAAGAATTGTAATCTTCTACGAATGTTTTTCGGAGTTGATAACTCGCGGCCATTTTTTTGTTAAATGGCGACCATGGCCATATCAGGCATCCCCGGCCTGGTAGTGAGGGAGCCTGGCAAAGTGATCTGCTCTGGAAGTGGCAGCGATCTAATGCAAGTGAATACACCTTGCTTGGCCCGTGATTAAATAATTATGATATGTATCGTCATGCTATTTATAAATGAATAAAACAAAGTTAAAATAAGCCGACCGTAACTTAAATTAACCATTGATGAATGTTTGTAATCTTAATGAATAGGACCGATTAATTTGGTCTCGTTGACTAAACACCCCCCCCCCCCCCCCACGGCATTCATGCACATTCCTCTGCGTGGCTGTCAATGGACAATACCTTTCTTGAATTGGGCAAGGGTTGTTACAAAAACTTGACACGACGGGAGGGAATTACAAAGCGGAGCGGTGCCAGGGAAGAAGCAGACAGAGCAGTTGGGTTCATAAATGATAAAAAAATATATATTTGAGTTATCTTTCCAGTACAGGCCCAATGAGCTATACAGTAGCTCTTATTCAGAAGCGACATGGCTATCCGAAACGATAGCTCAACGAATTCCTGTCAACATCATCACGTGGAATTTTATGGCAGCAAAATATTCTAAACGCGTCACGTTGATTCTTCATGCGGAAGGGAAAAGAGGACGACTTGGATGAAAATCCACGTGACCACGGGGAGAGAGATGTTGCAAACTCAAAATAAACAGCAGGCGTCTGGGTCGCGATCGAACCCACGACCTCCCGTCCTGTATACGGGGCAGGGTAATTAACATATCCTAGCCACCGTGATTTGTGCAGTGCAATAACCACTGGACCACAACTACCCCCCACGCACCATTCATCATCATCACGATCCATATGGCAGATATCCCCATAGTCGTAGGTGGTGGTTTGTTTCCACTTTCCTCTCTCTCTGTCTTGTCGTGCCAATATGCTAAAGTAGTGGCCGCATCATCTTTCTGGCACCAATCTCGTTATGAGGTCATCGTCAAGCCATTCTCCGTTAGGTCTTCCCCTCTCTCTCTCCGGTTCCACCCATTAGAACTTCTCAAAGACGTTCTCCAGGTCTGGGTAACTTTCCCTGAGGTCCCACAGCGCCTCCCAGAACTGCTTGACCCTGGGTCGCCCCCTCGCCATCACCAGCTCCACCATGTGCTGTGTCGCCTTCTCGCTGCCTTGCCGAGCTTGCATCTCCTTCACGGCCTGCGGGTGGACACACGAACGCAAAGACGTCAAGTTCAGAGCGGAACGACGTTTCTGTAGCGATGGCGGTTCTTCAGAGCCGCTTGCCTGCAACACTCCAGAAGCACTCTGTGTTTCCGTTGTAAAGCAGCAGCGTTTATGACAAAGTGTGACTCTTGTAAAGATGATCCGACATGAGCAACACTTCCAGGTAAAGTTGTATTCCTATTCGGGACTTACCCCTATCGAACACTGGCCACACTCATCGAAGGGTTTTCTTAAAACTCGGGAGACAAACCCAGCAATAAAAGTATTCACCTCAGCGTCCACTCCATCTCTTCTCCCTACCCACCCAGCCCCCCCGGCCGACTCTCTTTGTCTTCCCAATGCAATGCCTCATCACTCTCCCCCCCCCCCAGTTCCAACCAAACCTACCCCAGCCCCCTCCTTAACACTCACGCCTGTTCTGTTCTGTCACTCAAATAGCACCAACATTTTGAAAAAAACACATTCCTCATCTCAGACCACTATCATCTTACGCACAATTGTATCATCGCTGTGAAGCGCGTTAGAAAAAAAACGTTCTGTAAATTTTGTAAAGATAAGGCCACAGAGTTCTTGATGAATGTTCAGGTTTTGTTTTAGTGTAATTACATACTTCCGAGGACAATCACGAGTTGTTTTAGCTACGTCATTTATAAGGACAATAGGGAGAATCCTGTACGTATAGATAGTAAGACATGTAACACGATTTTTGTTTCTGGTTACTAAGTGTTATTTTCTAATTGCTTATGCCTCAACAGTATAGAAAATTGCTATTATTATTGTTGTTGTTGTTCCCCTCAAACTTTTCTTTTGTGACCAGGACTTTACGTGAAGGAATGACACAAATGCACGCCACGTTTTCGATTTTGAAAATAGGTAAATGTCAAAACATCATTGGCCTGTTCTTAGTTTTTTTTCGGTGAAGTCACGAAAAAAACTAAGAATATGAATTACTGCAGTCACGAAAGCTTTAAATAAAAAAAATCATTGTCCTGGTCACAAAAGCAAAGTTTGTGGGTAATAGATAGCCATTTTCTGTACTTTTGAGGCATAAGCAATAAGAAAATAACACTTACTACCCAGGAACAATGTTTTTGTTACTGTGTAATCAGTAAGATATGCTTCACACTGTATCGTAATCTCCATGACCTTTTCATTTCAACATTTTCCCCAAATCCACATCCCGTAATTTTGCTCAATATTTTTTTTACGTACAGGAATCCCTTGCCACCCACTGATTTGCTAACCGCAAGCTGAATGTACACAGGGTTTTATTATTTCTATAGCGATTTACCAAAAGCGGCCTTGGCATTTGAGTGTCCGCGGTTAAGCACGGTGTTAAGGAAGTCGAGTGACGTAGGTATTGCGTCATTGCATCACATTGTAACGCGCGGCGTCATCGTTACCAATGTCGCGGGGTTTCCCGTCACAACTGCCTTGTCAATGCTTAATTCGAGAGACATTTTCTACAGCCATAATACCGCAGTACATAAAGTTCGTTTGTGGATGTTGCCGCAAGCTCTTTGCACGAGTCGTTATTTTGATGTGCACGTCATCAGCATGCAGGGATACTCTTGACCCATTGGCTCCTAAATGTCACGCGGTAGCACTCGGTATATATTAAACAAAGAAAGGTCTCTGGACAGATCCCTCCAGGACACATACAAAAGTGACACGTTCCTCTATTTTAGCATCTTGACAAAAAAAAACGATGTTTTTCATTGGTAAGATAATCACACAGCCCAAACAAGTGGCGATCCAGATCCTCAAATACGCTGGTGCAAAGTGTCATTAATAATGCTCATTTTTTTAAAATACTGAATGCAATTGAAAGACGCCCTGCATGGCTTAACCATGGACCCGAAGCGTGGTAGCGCGTGGTGGAGGTGACAGAGAGTTGTGTCTTCAGCACGGACGAGTTAGAGGGTGGATCGAGTCCCCTCCTCCTTCTAACAAACCCTTCCCCCCCCCCCCCCATTATCTCATTGCCATCGATCATGATCACCGTCGTTAACATTAAAGGTGTGTCAAGTTTACGTAATGCATGGTTACGTTTTTGTTGTGTTGTGTAATATACTGGATCTTATTCGGTGTTTCGATAATAAACAGGCAACTGAGTCAGACTATGACGAGTAGTTCCCCCTAACTCCCTATTTCCCATAGGCCCCCGGTATTTGTAACCAACCACGGATTTGCCAACTGCGGCCTTTTCCGGGAATCTAATCCCCGCGGTAGGCGAGGGATTTGCTGTACATTCACACTGTCCATTACATACACTTACACGTGCTGCTTTTGGGTCCTTCAATTGCATTCAGTATTTTAAAAAAAATGAGCATTATTAATGACACATTGCACCAGCGTATTTGAGGATCTGGATCGCCACTTGTTTGGCTGTGTGATTATCTTACCAATGAAAAAACATCGTTTTTTTTTGTCAAGATGCTAAAATAGAGGAACGTGTCACTTTTGTATGTGTCCTGCAGGGATCTGTCCAGAGACCTTTCTTTGTGTAATATATACCGAGTGCTACCGCGTGACATTTAGATGCCAATGGGTCAAGAGTATCCCTGCATGCTGATGACGTGCACATCAAAATAACGACTCGTGCAAAGAGCTTGCGGCAAAATCCACAAACGAACTTTATGTACTGCGGTATTATGGCTGTAGAAAATGTCTCTCGAATTAAGCATTGACAAGGCAGTTGTGTCACCAGTTGGCATAAAACCACATCTCTATCATGAGTATCAAGAAAAAAAATATACTAAGCATATGTTCAAAATACTATTATGTTACTATACAGTCCGATGCAAACAGGGGTAACGGTCGTCTTAGAAACGTCATCATTATAAGATCACGTGTGCCACTACCTATGTGTGCTATGACCTATGTCTAATGCTCTGTTCAATTGCGCTTCTTACATCTGTTCGTGCTCTCGGCACTTATTTCAGCTTGTCCAACCCTAGCGTCGGCATGGACTTCATTGTGACTGCTCACTGTCAACCAATCCCGCGGCAGACTCAACATGCAAATGTTCTGTGCAGCCTAGAAAGTAGGTCCGTCGTGATAGCCTTTGTGCCAAAAGGACTGGCCAAACACCAAACGTCCTTATTCATGAGGCTACGCGTGATTGTGATGACGATGATCTTAGTTGGACATTACCCGCACGCTGTTGTCGGTGAGGATGTTCCTGATCTGCAGTTGGGAGAGCAGAGGCGTCAGGTCGTCGTGCAGTGCCCTGAGCAGCTCTCTCGTCTTGAAGCGGATTTTGTCTCGGAGGACAAAGTCGCTGTACTTGTTCAGAACCAGGGGGGACTTGTTGGAGAGTCTCCGGAGGAAGTCTGCGGCACCAAAGAAGGGGGGGGGAAACGCAGCGGCAATTGGCGCCGTTTCAGCCTTCAAAGGTGGATGAGAGCAGGTTGGAGTGCTTTTGGAAAATTTGAACAAAATAATGAATGGTAACTACATCATTAGACCTCCTTTGCCAGTACCAAAATATAATAATAGGGGTTTCCCCTTTTTTTTTCTCGCAACAAAACTGAAAACTTTTTTTACGAGGAATCACGTGGTGCATTAACCACGATACTTGTGGCGTCCTCTGGTCTAGCCCCAATTGAGACGAGGCTCGAAAGAAAGCTGTCTATGGTTGTGGACCAATCAGTTTCAAGGACGATGCATCATATATCGTCGGTGTGTTTTTTGTTTGCATTTTGACCACAAGTATTGTGGTTAATGCACCACGTGATTCCGTGTAAAGAAAGGTTTCAGTTTTGTTGTCAGAAAAAAATGTGAAATCCCCCTTATTCTTAATGAAATGTAACGTAACCAATGTGCCTGAAGAATAAAGTTTTAATCGGCCCGCATTACCTGCTATGACGTACGGATCAGACACGTGGACACTGACAATTAAAAGGAACAGCACTGCAAGAGCATGAAATAGTACACGGTTTCAAGTTACGTAGAAAAACAGAACGACAGTGCATGGGTTATAGGGCATTGCTTTGTTAATTAATTGCGTCTGGGCAGGACAGGTCACCAGAAGGAATGATGGCCGGTTAATACGACAAATGTGGATTGTGTCTGAAATTAAACGTTAATTATAAATGTATTATTTTGTTACCAAGGCCTCCCAGCCACTCCTTGAGTCCAGGATACTCGTTCTGCACGGCCTGCAGAGCAAAGAGCAGCTTGAGGCAGTCGTCATTCCCTCTCTCTTTGAAGAAGTTGAGCAGAAGCTCCGCACACTCCACGCCATCCCGGATGCCCTTGGCTTCAGTGAAGAGCTCGTTCGGGATCCGTCCCCGGCTCATCAGCTGCAGCAGAAGATGCTTGGGGTCTCTGGCGATCCAGAGCTTCAGATCCGACTCCTTATCTCGAATGGCCCTCAACGCCTCACCTGCGATCGACAGAGGTTCATATGAATTCCACAAGTATCGTTCTACACAGATTTATTTGATTTTGTATGAAATTAGGCCACGATTGTGAACCAACGCACAACGTATAACATATTCAGGTTCATACTGGTACTTAAACAGTCAAGTGTGACGTGAAGTCGTTCAGTCACGCACAGCATGACATCATTCCTGTGCGGCTTTAAACGTAGCGTCGTAGTCTCCGATCACTTCCCCGAGGACGAACTACGTGTTGGAAAGCAATTACGGAAGCCACGCATATGCATGGTTTTTCTTCCTCGACTCTCACAAAATGGCATTCGATGTCAATACACCGGTGCGTTCACGTGGGTCGTACCGTGTGTCTGAATCCACTTCCACAGCTGCACGTATTGCTTCCTCACAGAGTAGAGGGCATCCCACAGCTTCTCACAGCACGCCTCTCCCTGGCTGATGAAGTGGTCCAGAACGAGCTCCACACTCTCCTCTCCGCCCTTGTCGACGGCCGCTTGGTGCACGTGTCGTGGAATCAATTTGAAGCCGTTGAGATGCTCCAGGAAAGCCGAGGGATCCGCTCCGATCCAGGCCTTGAGATTCTCTTTGTTCTCTCGGATCTGCTGCATTGTCTCGCTGCTCTCATTGCTCCTCTGTAGCGTGTGGAGAAGACACGGTCACGATTATTTCTGTCTATCTGGGATGGAGTTTTCAGTGTATTGGTGCACGCCTACACACTGAAACAATGTAGAGTAGGGTCATCATGCCACCATGCTGCGTTGAGTTTACCTGAACTCCATATGGCACCTTGTGTTCATTTTGCACGATAACAAGCGGTAGATTTTCATCATGCTCGTTATTTGTATGAGTAGTGTCTGAAAGAAATCAGATAAAGTTAGTTAATCACTGATTCATAGCACAGTCGATGCGGTTCTATTGTTCGACACAGAAAACTAAACATGGCGATCTTGGAGTCAGGGACAACCTTTAAATGTTTCCTATAATTTTAAGATTGGAAAAAACCTTAACTGGAATGTAAAGTTGCATAACTTCATAGCCAAGATGAAGATGTCATCACCTGCGGCTAAAGACCATGAACAGACAGTTTTGAAGTCGTTTTTGAATCAGTCCAAATCCTACCTCGATGCCCCTCGGGACCTCGACAATTGTCAACTTCCTCCCTTTGTCACAAGAGCGGTAAGCACAGAACGAAGTAACGACGACGCTTCAATTGAGCGTCCTGTCCAACACGACTTTACTCGGGTGTGAAATATTGTCGGATGAGTGGAGGCACGGCAGAGGTGACTGTCACCAGTAGCAACACTCTCCTAGGGACAATTTCCAAGTTCTAAAAAGGAATGCGACTCATTGTTTTCATTTTGTGCAGTGGCGTCTGCAGAGAGCATTCAGAGGCGGCTCGTGCCGAGACGTCATTTCTCTGCACATATTGAATTCCCGTATGAGTAAAAATACATTTTGGTAGATGTGTAGCGTACTAATTCACAGACACTATTAGGAGGTGCTGTCTCTCTTTCATTCCGGCCTTCACGGCCTTAGGGGATAATCACATACCGGGTCGGGACAGCCAACATGCTGCCAGACCCACAGCTTGAAGAGGGCGAAGATCACAACGACGATGGCATTACGAGGGGTTCCACTCCAGATCGCAGCAGTCCCGATTGTTAGTCGGAGCTCGTCCTTTTATCCTGCACCAGCGTGGCCAGGCCCCGCCCTCAGCCCTGCCCCCGCTCCGGTTCCTCCAGAGGGCTCCGTGCCTTGACCACAGGTCCAACTGGTAGAACTGCTAATTCGATTGTCTACCAAGCGCTACGGTGACTCATTCAATGTCACTTCAGGTGCATCATTTCAGCCCCAATAGCAGGATGTGATCTTTGGATTAAGCACAGAACGTTGCCACTTACCTGATCGCTTCACCATCGTTTTTAAAGTCAACCCCTTCTGCTTCATGTTGAAGTAAACTATGAGCAACACGAGTGCAGTCAGGACGACGATGAGGACTGCCGCCAACACGACTGACGTGGCGTCTGAAAATTTTATGAAGGAGAAAAAAACAACAAGCTGTGAACAGCAGCTCCCTCTCCGCCTACTTGTCAGGTCTATGTGATACATTGCAATGAATACGAATGCAGTACGTTGCATTAACACAACCTCTATCAAAATCAAACCATCAAATCACTGCTCTTTGCATAATTTCTATAGTTTTTTTAAGCACAAAAATATCGCGAAGGCATTTTTTCACAGATTATCATCTGCAGCAGTTTCACCGTTGGGGGGTGACGTTATTTTTGTTACAATTTGCCTTCCCCTAGAACGAACTTTTGAGGTGATTTTCACATTTGAACCGCGATTTTCAAATATGGTTACCAGACCTCTATCATTCACAGTGAAGCAGATGGCGCATTTGATTTTGTTGAATGCACCAGTAACATTAACCAGGGTAGCCGATGGGCTTGAACCACAAAACCTCTGAAATGAGGAGTAAATATGCTGCTAGCTAGTGTGCAGATTTCGATGCAAGGGGACTCCAGCCTAAAACTTCTGTGTAGGGACAATACAGATTTGGTGTTCAGTATTGCACAGGGTAGTGAGCTGATAACATCACACGTGGCTGTGCTTGACCATGCATGCAGTCTTCTTTGGTTCTTTCGGTAAAGTCACGTAGAATGAGAATAGAATAATAAATTAATAAAATAACACAATAAAATTCTCACGACGTTTTGGCCACAACACAAGCGGCCTTCATCAGGTGAAGGGACGAGAATGTCTGGAGGACAGCGCTGGAGCGAACAAAGCCACGTCCCTTCACCTGATGAAGGCCGCTTGTGTTGTGGCCGAAACGACGTGATAATTTTATTGTGTTATTTTATTTTATTAATTCATTATTTTATTCTCATTCTACGTGACTTTGCCGAAAGAACCAAAGAAGATAAATCCTTGCAGTCACGAAAGCTTTAAATCATGCCACGCAGTCCCTGAAGCCTGCAATAGACATGAGGTTGAGTTTCAATTCGGGCTTCTACTGCGGACAGCTTCTGCCGTTTCAGTTGCCAGGCTGTCCCCTTGCCCCCACTGTAAGCTGAGAAACAAAACAGCTTATTGTGGTTGACTTGAGCGGCTTTGTAAGCCGACTACTACCTGAGCGTGGATCCTCTGGCAGGCAAAATCCCAAATCGTCGTCTCTCTGGAGCCCCTCCGTGCACCGACACACCGTGTCCTGGGCCACGGAGCAGTTCACAGCCACCTCCTCGCCTGCAATGAGAAAGTTGATCAGTTTCAACGCGGATGGTTGGCTACGTACGGTGTGAAAAAAGTTCAACATGGATTTTTTCAATCTTGATTTGAAGCTTTCGTGACTGCAGGAATCCATCCTCTTTGGTTCTTTCACGTAAAGTCCAGTAGGTAGAAATAAAATCAATCACGACGTTTCGATCGCCGCACAAGTAATCGTCTTCAGGTGGGAGAGGGCCTTAACTGGTTGTTGATGTTTCCATTCTACCTGCCATCGTCAGCAGTTATTTCCGACTCTTTGAGTTACATTACCAATTTACATTGCCAAGTTAAATGTATTTGCATTAACGGGCTAAATGTCTCACTAACAAAACCAAGGTTGTCCCTTTTCCCTTGATGTGACGGTGGCTCACGTTTTTTTAGAAGACTATAACTGGATGTGATGTTGTTGTGTGTCTTTCTCTCTCTGTGTGTGTCCCTCTGTGTGTCTCTGTGTGTGTCTCTGTGTGTGTCTCTCTCTGCGTGTCTCTCTCTCTGTCTCTCTAGGTGTGTCTCTCTCTCTATACGTGTCTCACTGTGTGTGTGTGTGTTTGTTTCTCCAATTGCCATCATTAGGGGAAAAAAAACGGTGATCCAATCTCCGACCCCCCCAGGAACAGGTTTGCAGATTTGCTGAGCAGAAGGTTGGAGGGAAAGGTCTCGAGAGGGATACAATGAGGGAGCACAAGGGGGGGGGGGGGGGGGGTGGGTAAGCGAGATAGAAGCCGGGCCTAGAGTTGTTTCGGTGTCGTTTCACGAGTTGCACAGCCATTTCGTCCATTTTCGGGGTTATTTGGCTCCACACGTCTCCACACTGGTCGAAGCGTCTTGATGCAGGAAAGGCCCATAGACGTGGCTGCATAGTACACTACAACAATGGTTGTCGCCGCAGTGCCCTGTAATGTGGTGCCGCACCAGGCTATAGAATCTGTTTTGTTTTCATTACGTAGGCTTTCATGAAGAAGATTTTTGGGGGTAGATTTTGTACGTAGATTTTAGACAACTATAACCCTCCACCGCCCAAGAAATAAAATAAAATCAAGTTGTAACGTGGACAAATGTGCCGATTGATTTGGGAGGTTTTTTTTTTTGCAGAAAATTTGGGGAATGTTGAATAGAAAGCAAGATTTTTTTATATATATATAATTCATATGCACGGTGATTACCAATCAGGGCACTGTCCAGGCTTAACCCTGTCTCGCTTCTGAGAACTCAGGAGATTTGGTCCAATTCTGAGTTATTGTCATGGGCAGGACATTATTACTGTCAATGCCGCGCTAGGCTTTGCTCAAGCAACGAAACGCCGCCCAAGGGGTAAACGGTCGGGGGCTCTAGTACGGCTACGCAGACGCGGGATCCGAACAGTGCTTCCGAGCTTTTTCCTCTCCAACGTACGTTCACTGTACAACAAAATGGATGAACTTCAGCTACTGATGGTAAAAAACAAAGACTTTCTTTCAGCTTCTGCATTGTGCTTCACGGAAACATGGCTGTGTGATTTGATTCCGGACACTTCGCTACAACTAGCAGGATTCCATCTTGTAAGATCGGATCGTGACATAGCACTCTCCGGCAAGACGAAAGGCGGTGGTATTTGTTTTTACATTAACAGTGGCTGGTGTGTAGATGTCACAGTGATTCTGCAACATTGTTCTCCACTCCTTGAATCAATTTTTATAACCTGTAAACCGTTTTACTCGCCTCGCGAGTTCGCGTCGCTCATTTTGGTCGGAGTTTATTTGCCGCCTTGTCCTCAGGTTAAAGAGGCCCAACGCATGCTCGCCGATCAGATTCTGAGTGTGGAGCGAGCAAATCCAGATTCGTTGGTTATCGTACTTGGCGACTTTAACAAAGGTAATCTCAGCCACGAACTCCCCAAATACATACAATTCATTAAATGCCCAACCAGAGAAGGGAACACTCTGGATCACTGCTACACTACAGTCAGTAGAGCCTACCACGCCGTCCCCCGAGCAGCACTAGGACACTCTGACCATGCCATGGTCCACCTGATTCCTGCATACAGGCAGAAACTAAAACTCTGTAAACCTGCTGTGAGGACATCTAAACAGTGGACCAGTGAGGCTGTGGAAGATTTGCGGGCGTGCTTAGACTGTACTGACTGGGATATGTTCACGACTGCTACCAATAGTCTGGATGAACTCACAGAGGCTGTGACGTCCTACATCAGCTTCTGTGAGGACTGCTGTATCCCAACACGTACCAGGGTGAACTTTAACAACAATAAGCCCTGGTTCTCAGCAAAGCTCAGAAGGTTGAGGTTGGAGAAGGAGGAAGCGTTTAGGAGTGGAGATAGAGACAGATTCAAGGAGTCGAAGAACAGGTTTAGCAAAGCGGTGAGAGAGGCTAAACGACTGTACTCAGAGAGACTAAAACACCAGTTCTCTACAAACGACGCTGCTTCTGTCTGGAGAGGGCTCAGGCAGATCACCAACTACAAACCCAGAGCCCCCCACACCACTAACGACTCCCGCCTAGCCAACGACCTGAACGAGTTCTACTGTAGATTTGAAAGACAATTGGACTGTCCTGAACCACCCCTTCCAACCCAAGAGGCCCCATCCCCCACCAATACTACAGAGACGACTATCTCCTTTCAGGAGGGAGAAGTTAATAGACTTTTCAAGAGGCAGAATCCACGCAAAGCAGCCGGGCCGGACTCTGTCTCTCCAGCCACCCTCAGGCACTGCGCTGACCAGCTGTCTCCGGTGTTCACCAACATCTTTAACACCTCCCTGGAGACATGCCATGTACCAGCCTGTCTCAAGTCCTCCACCATCATCCCTGTGCCCAAAAAGCTAAGGCCAACAGGACTAAATGATTACAGACCGGTCGCCCTTACATCTGTGGTAATGAAGTCTTTTGAGCGCCTGGTCCTGGCACACCTCAAAGCCATCACAGACCCTCTCCTGGACCCCCTTCAGTTTGCCTACAGAGCCAACAGGTCTGTGGAGGATGCAGTTAACATGGCCCTCCACTTCACCCTACAGCATCTGGACGCCCCAGCATCCTACGCCAGGATCCTGTTTGTGGACTTCAGCTCTGCCTTCAACACCATCATCCCTGCCCTGCTTCAGGACAAGCTCTTCCAGCTGAACGTGCCGTACACCACCTGTAAATGGATCACAGACTTCCTGTCTGACAGGAAGCAGTGCGTTAAGCTGGGAACACAAGTCTCTGGCTCCAGGTCCATCAGCACCGGAACTCCTCAGGGCTGCGTCCTTTCCCCTCTGCTCTTCTCCCTGTATACCAACAGCTGCACCTCCAATCATCTGTCCGTCAAACTATTGAAGTTTGCGGATGACACCACCCTCATTGGGCTGATCTCTGGTGGGGATGAGTCTGACTATAGGTGGGAAGCTGACAATCTGGTGACCTGGTGTAGCCAGAACAACTTAGAGCTAAATGCTCTAAAGACAGTTGAGATGGTTGTGGACTTCAGGAAGAATACAGCACCACTCACCCCCATCACCCTGTTAGACTCCCCAGTAAAAATTGTAGAGTCCTTCCGCTTCCTGGGCACTATTCTCTCCCGGGACCTCAAGTGGGAATTGAACATCAGCTCCCTCACCAAGAAAGCTCAACAGAGGATGTACTTTCTACGGCAGCTGAAGAAATTCAACCTGCCAAAGACAATGATGGTGCAATTCTATACAGCGATCATTGAATCCATCCTCACCTCCTCCATAACCGTCTGGTACGCTGCTGCCACTGCCAAGGACAAGAGCAGACTGCAGCGTATCATCCACACTGCTGAGAAGGTAATTGCCTGCAATCTACCGACCCTCGAGGACCTGCACACGACAAGGTCTATGAGGCGAGCGAGGAAGATTATGGCCGATTTCTCCCACCCTGGACACTCTCTGTTTCAGCTACTCCCCTCCGGCAGAAGGCTTCGGTCCATCAGGACCAAAACCTCACGCCATAAAAACAGTTTCTTCCCATCTGCTGCTGGCCTGTTAAACAAGGCCAAGGGCTAACACTGTTTTTAACATTTGATCTACATAACGACACGTTGCTGATATTAACTATGTTTCCCTATTTGTATTTTTAAATTATATCTTAAAGCTATTTTATATTCGATATTTATTTAATTTTATATACTTCAGCCCCTTAGTGTTAGACTTTTAACCCTTATTATAGTAAGACTTGTTTAAAACTTATTTAAGATTTTAGATTCCTATATGTTGAATGTATGCACCATCCTGCCAAAGTAAATTCCGTGTCGGTGTGAACTTACATGGCGAATAAAACCCTTTCTGATTCTGATCTGATTCTGATAATAATAATATATAGGATGGACAACAGCAGGAACATTACAAGTGTTGTAGTAGTAATAGGTTTTACCCTTTTAACTGGCACAAAAACTGACACCTTTATTCGAGGCATCATGTCTGCAATAACCACAACACAAGCAGTCAAAATGCTTGTGTTGTGGTTATTGCAAACATGACGCCTTGAATAAAGTTGTCAGTTTTTTTGTGCCAGTTAAAAGGGTAAAACCTATTCCTATATCTTGTTACTGGCAAAAGAGGTCTCATAATATAAATGCTCACCCCAAGCCCTCAATAACTCTGATAGTGCGCTGTTTTTGAGTTGTACGCCTTTTGGCGTCTTCTGGTCCAACACCAATGGAGAGACTAAGGGGCTCTAAAAAAAGCCGTCTCGGGTGTGGACCAATCAAATTCAAGGACAGTGCCAATATTATTATCAGAGTTGTCTTTTTTGTTTGCATTTTGACTGCTTGTGTTGTGGTTATTACAAACATGACGCCTTGAATAAATGTGTCAGTTTTTGTGCCAGTTAAAAGGGTAAAAACCTATTACTATATCTTTTTACTGGCAAAAGAGGTCTCATAATAAAAAAATTAAAGTGTTGTTGTTGTTGTTGTTTGGAAAAATAGAAGTAACCGGAAAGAGAGGAAGAGCTAACAGAGTAAATGGGTTGACGACATTAAAAGAGATTGGTGCCAGGACGATGTGGCCACCAGCAAATTGGTACAAGACAAGGGCAAGTGGAAACCAATGACGAAATGTACGGGTTATCTGCCCATGGATCGTGATGATGATGATGCACTCCACTATACACTACACGATTATAAACCACGCTATACACTACACCATATACTTAATTATACACTCCTATATACTACACTTCAGTACTACAAACTACACTATACACTACACTATACACTACACGATTATAAACCATGCTATACACTACACCATATACTAAATTATACACTCCTATATACTACACTTCAGTATTACAAACTACACTATACACTCCACTATACACTACACGATTATAAACCACGCCATACACTACACCATATGCTAAATTATACACTCCTATATACTACTCTTCAGTACTACAAACTACACTATACACTGCACTACACACTACGCTATACACTACACCATATACTAAATTATACACTCCTATATACTACACTTCAGTACTACAAACGACACTATACACTGCACTATACACTACAATAATATACATTAGGCTATGTACTACACTACTATCCCTCCTAGCCGAGAGTTTGAGTGTTTTTTTTTGTTTTTGAGTGGAGAAGTATCCCGGTGCCGTGCTTCTGGTACCGAGATGTTGTCCTCCAAAGTCAACCAGTCTGCTCCTCCACGAGTTTGCCGAGCTCATCACCGTGATGTGCCCAACCTATGACAGGATGCTTATTCTGGACGACTTCAACATCCGTTCTAGATTTGAAGCTTTCGTGACTGCAAGGATCCATACCCTCTGGTTCCATTCGCTAAAGTCACGTAGTGGGTAAAAAAATAAAACAACAAAAATCACGACGTTTCGGCCACAACACAAGTAGCCTTAATCAGGTGAAGAGACAGTCTGGTCCCTTCACCTGATGAATGCCACTTGTGTTGTGGCCGAAACGTCGTGATTTTTGTTGTTTTATTTTTTACCCACGTGACTTCAACATCCGTGTCGACACCAGGAATTGCTCCTTGTCTGCGGGGGGCATCTTGGCTCCACTTGATTGCTTTGGTCTCACCCACCATGTGAATGTACCCACTCGCAGACATGGTCACACCCTCCACCCTGTAATTCCCTTTGGGATTGGCGTTTTTAGATGTGCAGCCTGTTGGTCCTCGCCTTTCTGACCGTCTGGCTGAGCGATTCACTGCGGGGCATGATCCTCCACTTAATTTCATTAGAAGGAGGCGAATTGTGTCTCGTCCGATCAAGACTATGAGCCCAGCTCTATTTTCAAGATTTCTGATTACAACAATTGGAATATAATTTGAGGTGGGATTGTCTTGCTTGGAATATTTGGTTAGTTTCCAGGTTAAGTTTTCCCCGTGTTTTTTAATGCTGGTTGAATTGGGAGTATGCAGACCAAACCTGCCACGCATTGAAAAAATACAAATGTCAAACACAATTCACATCTACGGCAACAACCCACTTGCTGTGCTGTCATCTACCTGGTCCACAGCTGCTGCATTGCGAGCACACCTCCTCCTGGCTGTCCCTGTCCATGAATCTGCCTCTAGGGCACGGCTCACACAAGGCGCCCATTCCATCACCGATGCAGTCCGCCACTTTGTGCATCCCTGAAAGGCAAAGAGGTGTGAGCAAGCAACGGAGTTGTTGCAAACACAAACACACGGCCACAAGTTGGTGAGATCGAGCTGCACTGGCAAGTCAACATGTCTCAGGTGTGATCAAGAGCACAATGCCTCGACTGAAAACACGTTTCTTTCTTTCAGTATCCACCATTGACATCCAAATTGTTGCCAGGTCACGGGGGGGGGGGAAAGTTAATTCCATTTTAGTTTCCTTTCCACAGGAGCTGAGCCGTGACTTGGTGGTTTAACGGAAGCAACCGGTCACCACAGGGATTGTGGGTCTCAGTGTCTTGGCGTCGCTTTACCTGCACGACACAGCTCACAGCAGACTCCTTGTGGCGATTTGTAGAATCCATTTCCACACTCTGTGGCGGCTGACAGCTCCTGCAGTGCATAACACACCTGCAGAGAACATCCACGCAGAATGGAGTCACCGGCTGACAGCTCCTGCAGTGCATAACACACCTGCAGAGAACATCCACGCAGAATGGAGTCACCGGCTGACAGCTCCTGCAGTGCATAACACACCTGCAGAGAACATCCACGCAGAATGGAGTCACCGGCTGACAGCTCCTGCAGTGCATAACACACCTGCAGGGAACATCCACGCAGAATGGAGTCACCGGCTGACAGCTCCTGCAGTGCATAACACACCTGCAGAGAACATCCACGCAGAATGGAGTCACCGGCTGACAGCTCCTGCAGTGCATAACACACCTGCAGAGAACATCCACGCAGAATGGAGTCACCGGCTGACAGCTCCTCCAGTGCATAACACACCTGCAGAGAACATCCACGCAGAATGGAGTCACCGGCTGACAGCTCCTGCAGTGCATAACACACCTGCAGAGAACATCCACGCAGAATGGAGTCACCGGCTGACAGCTCCTGCAGTGCATAACACACCTGCAGAGAACATCCACGCAGAATGGAGTCACCGGCTGACAGCTCCTCCAGTGCATAACACACCTGCAGAGAACATCCACGCAGAATGGAGTCACCGGCTGACAGCTCCTGCAGTGCATAACACACCTGCAGAGAACATCCACGCAGAATGGAGTCACCGCGGGCGACGTCGCGAGACGTCTCCACTCTGCCAGCTGCGACAGTGCCGGTGCTTTCAGGAAGGCTTTGCCGCTGTTGTTTCCGCGATGAGTTTGTGAGTATTGCCACTTTGTGTCCCGAATCCATCCATACCTGGTGTTCACCAACTCGGGTAAAAAAATAAAAAAACAAAATTGGGCGGAGAATTGTCTCCAGACAAGACACACGCACGCCTTGTATGTCGAATCGATCATCACCCTGCCGGAATGATTTGATGATTAATGGGTAGAAATAAAAGCACATTCCGATGGAAAGATCAGCCCTGGTGCAATAAGTGACTCCGACACGGTAAATAACTTCGGTATTTCATATTCTTAGCTCTTTCGGTAAAGTCACCACGTTGAAGGGAAACAATAAAATAATAAAAATATATTTTAAACAATAAAATAATAAAATATATATAAAACAATAAAAAAATTCTCACGACGTTTCGACCATAACACAAACGGTCGTCATCAGGTGTTATGGTCGAAACGACGTGAGTATTTTTACTGTTTTACATATATTATTATTTCGATTTAAAGCTTTCGTGACTGCAATGATTCATCTTCTTTGGTTCTTTCGGTAAAGTCACCACCCACGTAGAATGAGAATAAAATAATAAATTAAATAATAAATCAATTTATTACTTTATTCTCATTCTACGTGACTTTACCGAAAGAACCAAAGAAGATTTATTATTATTTTATTGTTTCCCTTCAACGTGGTGACTTTACCGAAAGAGCTAAGAATATGAATTACTGCAGTCACGAAAGCTTTAAGTCAAAATTTAACTTGGTCATTATTATTCTTAGTTTTTTCGGTAAAGTCACGTTGAAGAGAAACAACAAAATAACAAAATATATATAAAACAATAAAAAATTCTCACGACGTTTCGACCATAACTCAAACGGTCATCATCAGGTGTGTCGGTTTTGATGATGACCGTTTGAGTTATGGTCGAAACGTCGTGAGAATTTTTTATTGTTTTATATATATTTTGTTATTTTGTTGTTTCTCTTCAACGTGACTTTACCGAAAAAACTAAGAATATGAATTACTGCAGTCACGAAAGCTTTAAATCAAAAGTTTTGATGTAGTTTCCTTATTCACCAAAGTTCCTGTACCTGACACCATCGCAATCATTGAATACTTGGTTCATCAAGGACTAAACACTGAGGTACCCCCCCCTGGTGAGACACTGCTTAACCAATACATACTTCACTTGGAATGGAACTTTCTACAAACAAACTGAGGGCACCCCAAAGGGCTCCCCCATATCTCCGGTTGTAGCCAACATTTTCATGGAGAAATTTGAGACTGATGCCATCCAGACTGCCACTCCGCGCCCAACCTTATGGAAGAGGGACTTGGATGACACTGTTGTCATCTGGCCACATGGCCGGCCTGCTCTAGACCAATTCCTCGACCACATCAATTCCATACACCCAGCCACCAGATTTACCATGGAAGTCGAAAAAGATGGCAAGCTACCTTTTTTTGAATGTCCTCAACTAAGAATATGAATTACTGCAGTCACGAAAGCTTTAAATAAAAATTTGGTCATTATTATTATTATTATTATTTTCAAAGTCTCTAGCACAGCCACTCCTCTCGTTCCGCTGACGCCGACCCGCTGTCATGGTGCTGGTGCTGGTGGTGGTGCTGCTGGTGCTCGACCTCGCTCTGAACCGCACCGCCGGCGAGCGGCAAGCGTTGTGGAGCGGCTCGAGCTGAAGGGGGTGGAGCAGGTGGAGCAGGTGGAGCAGGTGGAGGTGGTGGCAGGTGGAGGTGGAGCAGGTGGAGCAGGTGGAGCTGGTGGGAGGTGGAGCAGGTGGAGCAGGTGGAGCAGGTGGAGGTGGAGCAGGTGGAGGTGGCAGGTGGAGCAGGTGGGGGTGGAGCAGGTGGAGCAGGTGGAGCAGGTGGAGGTGGAGCAGGTGGAGCAGGTGGAGGTGGATCAGGTGGAGCAGGTGGAGCAGGTGGCAGGTGGAGCAGGTGGCAGGTGGAGCAAGTGGCAGGTGGAGCAGGTGGAGCAGGTGGAGGTGGAGCAGGTGGAGCAGGTGGCAGGTGGAGCTGGTGGGAGGTGGAGCAGGTGGAGGTGGAGCAGGTGGAGCAGGTGGAGCAGGAGGTGGTGGAGCAGGTGGAGCAGGTGGAGGTGGCAGGACCGGCAGTGACGGGGGAGCCCCTCTTTGATCCTCAGTCTAAGCCCCGCCCCTGGCCACGCCCCTGGCCACGCCCCTGGCCACGCCTGTCTGGGAGCCTTGGAGAATGTTCCGGAAGCTTCCATGCTAGCTCCGCCCATTCACCTTTCCCCCCCGGGATAGAATCTCCGACTGCTCATGATGCGTGGACTGCTTGACGGTGTGTGAATGTGACCCCACAATAATGCTGGAGATGGCGCTCGCCTATACTGGTAGGCACGAAGATTGTAAACTGAGTGTACCAGCCTGCAATAGATTAATGTGTCCGTCCGTCCGTCCCCTTTCAATACTTTAACGAAGTGAAATCTCGTGTGACTGACATCCTTTTATTTAACCACGTGAGTGACGTCATTGAGAGTCACTCTCTTGTCAGTGTCATCCTTTATACTGGTAGGCACGAAGATTGTAAACTGAGTGTACCAGCCTGCAATAGATTAATGTGTCCGTCCGTCCGTCCCCTTTCAATACTTTAACGAAGTGAAATCTCGTGTGACTGACATCCTTTGTTTAACCACGTGAGTGACGTCATTGAGAGTCACTCTTTTGTCACTGACATCCTTTGTTTAACCACGTGAGTGACGTCATTGAGAGTCACTCTCTTGTCACTGTCATCCTTTATTTAACCACGCGAGTGACGTCATTGAGAGTCACTCTCTTGTCACTGACATCCTTTGTTTAACCACGTGAGTGACGTCATTGAGAGTCACTCTCTTGTCACTGTCATCCTTTATTTAACCACGAGAGTGACGTCATTGAGAGTCACTCTCTTGTCACTGACATCCTTTATACTGGTAGGCACGAAGATTGTAAACTGAGTGTACCAGCCTGCAATAGATTAATGTGTCCGTCCGTCCGTCCCCTTTCAATACTTTAACGAAGTGAAATCTCGTGTGACTGACATCCTTTGTTTAACCACGTGAGTGACGTCATTGAGAGTCACTCTCTTGTCACTGACATCCTTTGTTTAACCACGTGAGTGACGTCATTGAGAGTCACTCTCTTGTCACTGTCATCCTTTATTTAACCACGCGAGTGACGTCATTGAGAGTCACTCTCTTGTCACTGACATCCTTTATACTGGTAGGCACGAAGATTGTAAACTGAGTGTACCAGCCTGCGATAGATTAATGTGTCCGTCCGTCCGTCCCCTTTCAATACTTTAACGAAGTGAAATCTCGTGTGACTGACATCCTTTTATTTAACCACGTGAGTGACGTTATTGAGAGCCACTCTCTTTGTCAGTGTCATCCTTTGTTTAACAACGTGAGTGACGTCATTGAGAGTCACTCTCTTGTCACTGTCATCCTTTATTTAACCACGTGAGTGACGTCATTGAGAGTCACTCTCTTGTCACTGATATCCTTTATTTAACCACGTGAGTGACGTCATTGAGAGTCACTCTCTTGTCACTGACATCCTTTGTTTAACCACGTGAGTGACGTCATTGAGAGTCACTCTCTTGTCACTGTCATCCTTGATTTAACCACGTGAGTGACGTCATTGAGAGTCACTCTCTTGTCACTGTCATCCTTTATACTGGTAGGCAGGAAGATTGTAAACTGAGTGTACCAGCCTGCAATAGATTAATGTGTCCGTCCGTCCGTCCCCTTTCAATACTTTAACGAAGTGAAATCTCGTGTGACTGACATCCTTTTATTTAACCACGTGAGTGACGTTATTGAGAGTCACTCTCTTTGTCAGTGTCATCCTTTGTTTAACAACGTGAGTGACGTCATTGAGAGTCACTCTCTTGTCACTGTCATCCTTTATTTAACCACGTGAGTGACGTCATTGAGAGCCACTCTCTTGTCACTGACATCCTTTATTTAACCACGTGAGTGACGTCATTGAGAGTCACTCTCTTGTCGCTGATACCCTTTATTTAACCACGTGAGTGACGTCATTGAGAGACACTCTCTTGTCGCTGTCATCCTTTATTTAACCTCGTGAGTGACGTCATTGAGAGTCACTCTCTTGTCACTGTCATCCTTTATTTAACCACGTGAGTGACGTCATTGAGAGTCACTCTCTTGTCACTGCCATCCTTTATTTAACCACGTGAGTGACGTCTTTGAAAGTCACTCTCTTGTCACTGACATCCTTTATTTAACCACGTGAGTGACGTCATTGAGAGTCACTCTCTTGTCACTGGCATCCTTTATTTAACCACGTGAGTGACGTCATTGAGAGTCACTCTCTTGTCTCTGTCATCCTTTATTTAGCCACGTGAGTGACGTCATTGAGAGTCACTCTCTTGTCAGTGTCGTCCTTTATTTAACCACGCGAGTGACGTCATTGAGAGTCACTCTCTTGTCACTGACATCCTTTATTTAACCACGTGAGTGACGTCATTGAGAGTCACTCTCTTGTCACTGGCATCCTTTATTTAACCACGTGAGTGACGTCATTGAGAGTCACTCTCTTGTCACTGTCATCCTTTATTTAGCCACGTGAGTGACGTCATTGAGATTAACTCTCTTGTCACTGGCATCCTTTATTTAACCACGTGAGTGACGTCATTGAGAGTCACTCTTTTGTCCCTGACATCCTTTATTTAACCACGTGAGTGACGTCATTGAGAGTCACTCTCTTGTCACTGTCATCCTTTATTTAACCACGTGGGTGACGTCATTGAGAGTCACTCTCTTGTCGTTGATATCCTTTATTTAGCCACGTGAGTGACGTCATTGAGAGTCACTCTCTTGTCACTGACATCCTTTATACTGGTAGGCACGAAGATTGTAAACTGAGTGTACCAGCCTGCAATAGATTAATGTGTCCGTCCGTCCCCTTTCAACGAAGTGAAATCTCGTGCTGCTGGGGTGTAAAAATTAAAATTGCGCAAAATTCCAATGTTCCTACCGGCCCACCCTGCAGGGACCCTGTTTGCACAAGCAAACCACGCAGCGGCGAATTCAGACATCCGCTCGGCACGTTTTCAGCTCGCGAGTTAAACCTCGCAGTTTAGAAGTTGACTCGTCCCGAGCTTAATCACACGAAACCCCAATGTCGCCTCTACAAAAGGCATTGTCCTTACCTTTACAGGCTGCCATGAGGAAGTTCAAGAGGCTGAGTTCGCGGTTAAGGTCTTGGTGCAATGTTGTATTGTCATCGCAGAAGCAGCAACAGCACATTGGGCTATTCCACAAAGTCTTAAAAAGAACCATGTATATATAAATATTCATCCATCTGACCGAGTCCACCCCTCCAGGATCCCCCACCACTGCTCCCCCAACCCCCCACAAAGAGGGGTAATAGGGGTAGTGAGAGGTAATAGGGGAAATGAGTGGTAATAGGGGTAGTGAGAGGTAATAGGGGTAGTGAGAGGTAATAGGGGAAATGAGAGGTAATAGGGGTATTGAGAGGTAATAGGGGTAGTGAGAGGTAATAGGGGTAGTGAGAGGTAATAGGGGAAATGAGAGGTAATAGGGGTAGTGAGATGTAATAGGGGAAATGAGAGGTAATAGGGGTAGTGAGAGGTAATAGGGGTAGTGAGATGTAATAGGGGAAATGAGAGGTAATAGGGGTAGTGAGAGGTAATAGGGGAAATGAGAGGTAATAGGGGTAATGAGAGGTAATAGGGGTAGTGAGAGGAAATAGGGGAAATGAGAGGTAATAGGGGTAGTGACAGGTAATAGGGGTAGTGAGAGGTAATAGGGGTAGTGAGAAGTAATAGGAGTAATAAGATTTAATAGGGCTAATGAGAAGTAATAGGGGTAGTGAGAGGTAATAGGGGTAGTGAGAGGTAATAGGGTAAATGAGAGGTAATAGGGGAAATTAGAGGTAATAGGGGTAATGAAAAGTAATAGGGGTAATGAGAAGTAATAGGAGTAATAAGAAGTAATAGGGGTAATGAGGGGTAATAGGAGTAATGAGAAGTAATAGGGCTAATGAGAAGTATTAGGGCTAATGAGAAGTAATAGGAGTAATAAGAAGTAATAGGAGTAATGAGAAGTAATAGGAGTAATAAGAATTAATAGGGCTAATGAGAAGTAATAGGGGTAATGAGAAGTAATTGGAGTGATAAGAAGTAATAGGAGTAATAAGAATTAATAGGGGTAATGAGAAGTAATAGGAGTGATAAGAAGTAATAGGAGTAATAAGAATTAATAGGGCTAATGAGAATTAATAGGAGTAATAATAATTAATAGGGCTAATGAGAAGTAATAGGAGTAATGAAAAGTAATAGGAGTAATAATAATTAATAGGGCTAATGAGAAGTAATATATGATAATGAGAGGTAACTCACCACGAGGATCATTCCACCCAGCACCAGAATGCTCCTCCACTGGTGCATGATGCTGCCCCGTCTCTCCTCACCACCAACTCCCCACGACTCCTACCCAGTCCAGCTCTTGCCCAGTTCACACTTGCAACCCCAAGATAGCCGAACTCGCGACGTTTCATTCACTCGCCCAACCCCAGTTGTTGTGGCTGTTGTTGTTGTTGACGTTTCTGGTCCCGCTGTGTCCTACACAAGAGCCTGTTGAGCACAAACGCTCCTCTGTGATCGGGGCACGTTCAGATTCCTGGAAATCACGTGCGACACGTCACTCATCCCGACGGTGGTTTCGTGACGTTCGGAAACCCTTCGGGGCAGGTGACAGGTGACCTCATTTCACATTCCTTGCCAGACTTCAAGTGGAGCACGCGCAGTGTGTTTTTGTACGCACGTCTGCGTAATAAGGGGCCGTCCATAAATGACGTCACGCACCTTGGGTGGTGATGGTCGGACATTTGTGACGATGTGTGACGATGAGGGGGGGGGGGGGGAGGGGGTTTGAAAAATGTGACGTCACATCAAAATGCGGCAACTTTATAAATAAGTAAACACGGACAACACGTTCTACTTAATTACATTTTTAAATAAATGTTTTCTCCTACAACATCAGAGTTCGGCGCCACATTAAATACACGCGCTACTATAATGACGATAGCTTAAGCGATTTGAAGCGTGTTTTTTTCTGGAGGGAGGGGGGGTGGTAGAGCTTTGTGACGTCATATTTGAGGGGTGGGGGTCAAACATCGTCCAAAATCGCGTGACGTCATTTATGGACTGCCCCTAATGTCACGTGAACATTTACTCCGAGCGCAGACGGTCGCCCCAACTTCTCACTCAATTCGATGCTCAACGACAGCCACGGCTAACTATGTCAACACCAAGTAACTATCATCGATAAACCTTGACGATGAATTAGTTAAACAGTGACAGGACGCCAGAACTCACCTGGCCGCATTCCAGGTGGCCGTTTGTATTATTATTTTTTTAACATTTGTGTAAAAAAAATGTTAAACTTGTATTTCAGATTTTTATTTCGATTCTAAAGCGTTTCGTGACTTGCAGGCAAATCAAATTTCGTGGGTCTTTCGCATGTGAGTGTAAGCCTGAGTACAATCTCAACGTGTTGTTGCTGTCGAGTATTTTAATTTAAATTTGACCGTTATCATGTGGAAAAAAAGGGGGGTGAGGTGGCGGGGGGGGGCCACTGAAAGCAGGATGTTTTAAAGGTTTCAAATTGGCTTAGCCAAGCATGCCGGTATCAGAGCGAAGCGCCGCGAGGAACGAGCTCCCTGGGCCAGCATACGCGGAGAGAAAGCGGAGATGGTAATCGAGGGAAGGGTAAAACAGCATTAGCCGCGGAGAAATAACAACTGGTGGTGTGCCAAAATGCAGAGGCGACAGACACCACGTCAAGGGGAATTGGTAACGTGATGGTTTTCCATCTTGTCACATTCCGACGTTGGGTTTTTAATGTTCTCAAGATGGGACAAGCAACATCAATTAACTTTGATCAATAAGAACAAACAAAAATACAGCCACCTACGTTTCATCCACTACCGCCTGTGTCAACTCCAACTAACTTTGATCAATAAGAACAAACAAAAATATAGCCACGTACATTTCACCCACGGCCACCTGTGTCAACTCCATTTAACTTTGATCAATAACTCAACAAAAATACAGCCACCTACATTTCACCCACGGCCGCGTGTGTCGACTCCAACTAACTTTGATCAATAACTCAACAAAAATACAGCCAGCTACGTTTCACCCACGATCGCCTGTGTCAACTCCAACTAACTTTGATCAATAACTCAACAAAAATACAGCCACCTACATTTCATCCACGGCCACCTGTGTCGACTCCAACTAACTTTGATCAATAACACAACAAAAATACAGCCACCGAAATTTCACCCACGGCCGCCTGTGTCAACTCCAACTAACTTTGATCAATAACACAACAAAAATACAGCCACCTACATTACACCCACGGCCGCCTGTGTCAACTCCAACTAACTTTGATCAATAACACAACAAAAATACAGCCACCTACATTTCATCCACTACCGCCTGTGTCAACTCCAACTAACTTTGATCAATAACACAACAAAAATACAGCCACCTAAATTTCACCCACGACGGCCTGTGTCAACTCCAACTAACTTTGATCAATAACTCAACAAAAATACAGCCACCTACATTTCATCCACGGCCACCTGTGTCAACACCAACTAACTTTGATCAATAACACAACAAAAATACAGCCACCTACATTTCACCCACGGCCGCCTGTGTCAACTCCAACTAACTTTGATCAATAACTCAACAAAAATACAGCCACCTACATTTCATCCACGACCGCCTGTGTCAACTACAACTAACTTTGATCAATAACACAACAAAAATACAGCCACTTACATTTCACCCACGGCCGCGTGTCAACTCCAACTAACTTTGATCAATAACTCAACAAAAATACAGCCACCTACATTTCATCCACTACCGCCTGTGTCAACTTCAACTAACTTTGATCAATAACTCAACAAAAATACAGCCACCTACATTTCACCCACGGCCGCCTGTGTCAATTCCAACTAACTTTGATCAATAATAACAACAACAAAAAACAGCCACCTGCATTTCACCCACGACCACCTGTGTCAACTCCAACTAACTTTGATCAATAACTCAACAAAAATACAGCCACCTACATTTCACCCACGGCCGCCTGTGTCAACTCCAACTAACTTTGATCAATAACTCAACAAAAATACAGCCACCTACATTTCACCCACGGCCGCCTGTGTCAACTCCAACTAACTTAGATCAATAACTCAACAAAAATACAGCCACTTACATTTCACCCACGGCCGCCTGTGTCGACTCCAACTAACTTTGATCAATAACACAACAAAAATACAGCCACCTACATTTCACCCACGGCCGCCTGTGTCAACTCCAACTAACTTTGATCAATAACTCAACAAAAATACAGCCACCTACATTTCACCCACGGCCGCCTGTGTCAACTCCAACTAACTTTGATCAATAACACAACAAAAATACAGCCACCTACGTTTCACCCACGGCCGCGTGTGTCAACTCCAACTAACTTTGATCAATAACTCAATAAAAATACAGCCACCTACATTTCACCCACGGCCACCTGTGTCAACTCCAACTAACTTTGATCAATAACTCAACAAAAATACAGCCACCTACGTTTCACCCACGACCGAGTGTGTCAACACCGACTAACTTTGATCAATAACACAACAAAAATACAGCCACTTACATTTCACCCACGATCGCCTGTGTCAACTCCAACTAAACTTTGATCAATAACTCAACAAAAATACAGCCACCTACATTTCACCCACGGCCACCTGTGTCAACACCAACTAACTTTGATCAATAACTCAACAAAAATACAGCCACCTACATTTCATCCACGGCCACCTGTGTCGACTCCAACTAACTTTGATCGATAACTCAACAAAAATACAGCCACCTACATTTCACCCACGGCCGCCTGTGTCAACTCCAACTAACTTTGATCAATAACTCAACAAAAATACAGCCACCTACATTTCATCCACGGCCGCCTGTGTCAACTCCAACTAACTTTGATCAATAACTCAACAAAAATACAGTCACCTACATTTCATCCACTACCGCCTGTGTCAACTCCAACTAACTTTGATCAATAACTCAACAAAAATACAGCCACCTACATTTCACCCACGGCCGCCTGTGTCAACTCCAACTAACTTTGATCAATAACTCAACAAAAATACAGGCACCTACATTTCACCCACGGCCGCCTGTGTCAACTCCAACTAACTTTGATCAATAAGAACAACAAAAATACAGCCACCTACATTTCACCCACGGCCGCCTGTGTCAACTCCAACTAACTTTGATCAATAACACAACAAAAATACAGCCACTTACATTTCACCCACGGCCACCTGTGTCGACTGCAACTAACTTTGATCAATAAGAACAACAAAAATACAGCCACCTACATTTCACCCACGACCACCTGTGTCAACACCAACTAACTTTGATCAATAACACAACAAAAATACAGCCACCTACGTTTCACCCACGGCCGCCTGTGTCGACTCCAACTAACTTTGATCAATAAGTCAACAAAAATACAGCCAGCTACATTTCATCCACTACTGCCTGTGTCAACTGCAACTAACTTTGATCAATAAGTCAACAAAAATACAGCCACCTACGTTTCACCCACGGCCGCCTGTGTCAACTCCAACTAACTTTTATCAATAACTCAACAAAAATACAGCCACCTACATTTCATCCACGACCGCCTGTGTCAACTCCAACTAACTTTGATCAATAACACAACAAAAATACAGCCACCTACATTTCACCCACGGCCGCGTGTGTCAACTCCAACTAACTTTGATCAATAACACAACAAAAATACAGCCACCTACATTTCACCCACGGCCGCCTGTGTCAACTCCAACTAACTTTGATCAATAACACAACAAAAATACAGCCACCTACATTTCATCCACTACCGCCTGTGTCAACTCCAATTAACTTTGATCAATAACACAACAAAAATACAGCCACCTAAATTTCACCCACGACGGCCTGTGTCAACTCCAACTAACTTTGATCAATAACTCAACAAAAATACAGCCACCTACATTTCACCCACGGCCGCCTGTGTCAACTCCAACTAACTTTGATCAATAACACAACAAAAATACAGCCACCTACATTTCACCCACGACCGCGTGTGTCAACTCCAACTAACTTTGATCAATAAGAACAAACAAAAATACAGCCACCTACATTTCACCCACGGCCACCGGTGTCAACTCCAACTAACTTTGATCAATAATTCAACAAAAATACAGCCACCTACATTTCACCCACGGCCGCCTGTGTCAACTCCAACTAACTTTGATCAATAATTCAACAAAAATACAGCCACCTACATTTCACCCACGACCGCCTGTGTCAACTCCAACTAACTTTGATCAATAACACAACAAAAATACAGCCACCTACATTTCACCCACGGCCGCCTGTGTCAACTCCAACTAACTTTGATCAATAAGAACAAACAAAAATACAGCCACCTACATTTCACCCACGGCCACCTGTGTCAACTCCAACTAACTTTGATCAATAGCTCAACAAAAATACAGCCACCTACATTTCACCCACGGCCGCGTGTCAACTCCAACTAACTTTGATCAATAAGAACAACACAAATACAGCCACCTACATTTCACCCACGGCCACCTGTGTCAACTCCAACTAACTTTGATCAATAACTCAACAAAAATACAGCCACCTACATTTCACCCACGGCCACGTGTGTCAACTCCAACTAACTTTGATCAATAACACAACAAAAA